GAACTTTATAGTAAAAATTAATTTTGATACTTAAGACCAATCAAGCCGCCTTAGTTTTTCTAAGTTGCTCACTTAAGTAGTACTAAGATCCACTACCTACTTACCATGACACTTAGGTGATTAAAGGAAGCTTGAGAGGTCGTTTGATCCACTTAACTACGACACTTAGGGTCGTTAGACGAATACCTGAAGATTTTCTAAAAGCCATTAAGAGGGAGCTTTCTACCTTGATAACTACCTAACTAACCTTGATAACTTGATAACTTAACCTTGATCTAACCTTGATAACTAACACTTGATAACTACCAGACCCAACATAACACATACCCAACAACCCAACACCTGCCCAAACAACCCAACACCTGCCCAAACAACCCAACACCTGCCCAAACAACCCAACACCTGCCCAAACAACCCAACACCTGCCCAAACAAACCCAACACCTGCCCAAACAACCCAACACCTGCCCAAACAACCCAACACCTGCCCAAACAACCCAACACCTGCCCAAACAACCCAACACCTGCCCAAACAACCCAACACCTGCCCAAACAACCCAACACCTGCCCAAACAACCCAACACCTGCCCAAACAACCCAACACCTGCCCAAACAACCCAACACCTGCCCAAACAACCCAACACCTGCCCAAACAACCCAACACCTGCCCAAACAACCCCACACCTGCCCAAACAACCCAACACCTGCCCAAACACCCAACACCTGCCCAAACAACCCAACACCTGCCCAAACAACCCAACACCTGCCCAAACAACCCAACACCTGCCCAAACAACCCAACACCTGCCCAAACAACACAACATATGCACCCAAACTCACTACATAAATCAGAGAGAGAACCAATGAACAAGAGAAACATAAAAATGGACAGAGACAGAGAGAGAGAGAGAGAGAGAGAGAGAGAGAGAGAGAGAGAGAGAGAGAGAGAGAGAGAGAGAGAGAGAGAGAGACAGTAGAAAAACACACACACACAGGACACAGAGAGATACAGCTAGACACATAGACAATGAGAGAGAGAGACATATTCAGAGAGACAGAGACACACACAAAAGTATTCCGAACTATTAACGGCACATATGAGAGAAGGGACAAAACTTATCCATTGGCAGTGTGTCGAGACATCTTCTCTTAATTACCTGTGACGGCTTGGAACAGGTGAGGGTCTAATCAACGCCACTTTCAGAACCAGGTAATTAGTTCCAGGTGTAAGTGGGAATGAAATATTGGGGGGAAAAGCAAATTTTCAGATGAGTTCCATGTGTCAATACGTTTCTGAATATCCGAATATTTTTTGTTATTTCTCT